GTGTTATTCAGGAAAAAAGAGCCTAAAGCTTTGCTACGAGTATTTTTTGCTCGCCTTCCGATGGGTAGTAAGCGTTGAAGCGTGTTGGGGCATTTCTGAGTATCGCTGCTTCATTTTGTATGATAATTAATCACTTGTTGTCTGGAGTTCTTTTTTTCGTAATTGCCATATATTCTGTGCAAAGTATCTCTTCGAGAGAATAAGAGATAGCCCCACCAAAGTCGAGAGTCATAGAGGGAGATGTAGCAGTGGTTCTGGGCCAGCTAAGCCGAATCCCATAAAACATCCTTCCATTTCAATCTCTACTCCAGTTTATCAGAAAGCTAATTCCGTATTATCATCATTATTTTAGAGAATCAAAATAGGTTTTGCTTATCTCGTTCGATCGCGCAAATCATGACATCATTTTGCGACAGTATGACTCAATTATTACTCTGGAAATTCTCAGGTGAGAGACTAAGTTTAGTCGGGAGCCACGAGCGACAATTGCTAATGTTTCGTTTCTTGAAGGAATCAGTCAACTCTCCAAACGACCAGTCGCGATTACGCAGGGATCTTAGAACCCAATTAGAATAGAACAGAAAATAATTTAGTTAATCTCCAAACTGAGTCTATGACTATGAAGAACAGCTAAAACTATATAAATAGCTTTAAAGTTAGTAGTAAATTTGGATATTGATATGCTTAATATTTGCCAATTGACGACGAGGGTCTTTCCCAACCTAATTAGACCTCATAACCTTATTTTTGTTAATTTATATCATTTAGTGTGTTAAGTTATCTAGCTATGACACACAATCGGTACTATGTAAACATGTTGGATGACTTTTTAGACGTTAGAGACACTCATAGTCTGGATTTAATTTGAAAATACCACTATGAGGTATATTTGCTCACACAAACAGTCGACCTTTTTCCGTAAGTACCTACCAGAGCGACATTACAAAACCTTTGATTATTCAAGCATACCTTCCTCATCCATAAATATCAGCACCGTGAGAAATATAATCAAGTTTAGCTGTATTCGAACCAGCGATCTCCCATCTCAAGTGGGATATATGTGTAAGCTATCCATAATACTTAAAACACTTACTCTTCTTTGTTGTAGAACTGTAAAAAAGGTCAACTCGTTACTCGTTGGGAATATTTAACGTGCGATACCAAGCTAGTTCATGTCGGATATGAGATCATTTTCGAGTGATATGTCAAGTACAACTCCTTCAATTCGAAGACCCATTAAACTGAGCACATCTAATACTTTGTTATGACTGAAATGAAGTTCGGAGGAATCAAGACTCCCTGCTACTTGTCTGTCTTCACAGTATCCATAGTCTCGTGTCTATCCAACCTAATACCAAGTGTTGTATTCTATTCTTTGGCCTCTATTCATGGCCCCTCAATATGTTTGCTCTCAGCCAACACTGCAGTAGGCTCAGTTTTTTTCACAGTCTGAACTCTTTTTGGAATTTCCGTATATTTTTTGTGGGGTTGGTGTCAGGCAGAGGGTCGCGAGTCGTATTGAATACAAAGGATGATTAAAGAGTAAATAATGATTGCAAATTCTCCATAATAGCTGAGGACCTTATATATTGTACAGCGCCTTCATAGCTTTGTTCCCTCGTGTAATTATTGCCAATCATAATTTTGGAGCAAATGATACAAGTGGAGCGCTTCTTACTCCACTTGGGAAGGAGAAGCACGAAATCACGTTTAGCGTTGAGAAAAGACGATAGATGATGGAGGTATGTCTGGATAAATCAGGGTTTTTGAGACGTCTCCCTGGGTGGGTATTCACGGATGAGAGCTGACTTAGGGTGAAGAAAAAGCTACCATAACTTCGCAATGGCACCTGCAAGTTAAAAACGAGGCATGAGTGATCACCTTGTATATTGAGTCATCTATTTTGTACTTTTCTTTAGCATTGTGTCAAAGCTAGATAGCTACATACGCAATTAAAATCCGATGCAAAAAAATATATTCTTATCAATGGCTACCCCAAAACTTTCAAAACTTACCCGCGAGGAGTACCTAGATTTCGGCACTGTAATATAAGATCTTTACAACCCGAAGATAATTCCCGCCAACTACCAGCCCTACAAGTACCTATATTTAGCTGTCAGTCCATGTTGGAAAATGTACTCTGTACTGTATTGTGTGAATAAGGAGCGTGGAAGTGTACAAGAAATATTTGTAGAACTATGGGACTAAATCCGAAGGTATAGCAATCCTTCTGAAGCGTTTCAAGAGATCGGCCAGCTGGGCGCTGCAGACTTGTGTGTACCTCAGGAAATTCAGTCTCAGCATTTCTAGCATCCTTCCAACTCCGTCCTGAAGGTCCTGCTTTTTTTCAGAAAAGAATTAAGAGAATAAATATTTTTTTTGCATCAGATTTTAATTGCGTATGCAGCTATCTAGCTATGACACAGTAGAACATATTTGCTGTATAGTAGCTTAGACAAAATTCCTTGCACCTTCTAGGATACTGGGTTGTGCCGTAGACTCATCGAAATCAGGAGTACTCCCGGCTAATTATCCCAAACTGGAAAATTGGCGCCCAAAAGCATCACAATGTCGAAATCCCTCGAAAGACGTAAGTACCAGCTGCCTGTCCTCCCTGAAGAGGTAGAGACTCATTAGACTAAAGGTCCCCCATAAGCCAAGACACAAGTAATGCATGTTATAACTTGATTTCCTCCTTGCGGATAAACCAAGAATCATAATTTTGAAGTTGGAGTTGGCCAACACTTGGTAAGGCCAGCTCCCATTTGCAATTGGAGTAACTACTTGATCGGTCGTTGAGGCGAGATTGAGTTGGGGAACTCGTGAGAATGATAGGTCCGAAATTAATGAGAAGTCATCGATAATAGATATGCTTGTGTCTGTTTTCAACTTTGATTCGGAGGCGATTCATCTCGAATATCTCCGATGTGTAGAGCTTATTGAGCCTCTATACCAGCAGGAGCATCATTGAAATGTGAATAATTCATTCCCGCCGGCATATCATGCTTATTAATCACGACCCACCTCTACTCTGCCGTGGTGAGACACCCTTGATCGGCGGACGCACATGCAATATCAAGCGCGGTATGCGCATTAAAGACATGTGCTGAGAGATGTGATCACAACGTGAAACTGAGACAGAAATACAGTCAGACCCTTGTTAATACGATCCTCGTTAAGACGATAAGTTTCCAGAACGGACTTCGTTCCCATACATTTACCGATTACACGATTATCGTTCTTCAACCTCTGAATATCGTCTTAACCAGGGTTTTTTTGCTAGATTGATTCTAAAAACTCTGCCAAAAAAGGGAATTTCCGTGGAACAACGATATTCTCTGCCTGACGATATTTTTCACAGCCCCGATTACATCGTCTTAACAGGGGTTTGACTGTATTCGCCAAAATTTCGCATCCCACAGGGGTGAAAGTCATCACCGGTCAGTGGTGTCCCTTGTGAACCTCCGGCTCTGACTGTAGAGTCTGTAAAGACGAGATTGAGTAACTCCTTTTCAACTTTGAGCTGAGTTATCTCCCCTTCCATCGAAGAAACGCTTCCGATAACTCATGAGACGACCAAAACGATGATAATGATGCTGGGAATGAGGAAAGATAATGCGGTACCAAACGCTACAACAGTAGTCAGAGAAGCCCTCGTTATATTACAACATGTTCTACCCACCAGCGGGCGAACAAAAAGCCCACGAAAGCAGAGTAAAAGACCCTTCCGCCCTCCAGAAAAGCAGATTTCGACTCGTCAATAGTCTCGTCCCTACTAATCTTAACTTCCAAATCTGCTAGCCAGGAGGGCATCTGAAATACATGAGTTACCCGACGACCCCGCGCCCACAACGACTTTTGGATACAAGGCTAGGCTCCTTCACGACAATCACTCTCGACCAAGACTTTTCTGACATCTTTTCACGACCTTCGGTTTTCCTGCGGCATGAATCAAGGGAGGATAAAAGAGGAGGCTAGGAAGGTTGAGAGAAGCTCTTAGGTATACACAGGTCTGCTGCGCCCGGATGGCCGGCCTCTTCGTCATAGGAGAGCCCTGCACCGAGTGGTTTTTGAGGCATTTCCCAGCAGCTAACACCCGCAAATGGCCATCGTTTCGTTGGTTGGAGAGAGGAGATAATGACGGGATAACGGCTCCTCTTAGTGTGTACTAGAATGAAGATCTGTGGGGGTATTACTGCTGGAAAGAAGTCGTGAAGGAGGCAAAGGAGGGAGTACACTACCCGAGGCAAAGATACTCCCGGCCTGTAGGCAGAAAGGACCTACATGTCCTCACATAGTTATAGATTTTTTAGGACAATAAACAACCACTCACTCGTTCGTACATTCTGTTTTGCATTGAACCAACCTTACGGATACGTAAAATGAGGCCAATCGACGTACAGAGTATATTGTCCAACATAGGACCTTAACAAAACAACATTGACCATGGTGAGTGCGAGGTTAGATAAACATCCCAGACGTGTAGCTAACACCTTATGCGTTTAAAATTGGCACCGCACAAACGTAAGAGGGTTTAACTTTATCGGCCTTCCCGCCACTAATAAATATCGACTAGAAAATCCGTAATACTAAACTCTATATTGAATATAATAATTTGCAAGGATGAATGTTTACCATTTCTAACCATCATTATCACTACAGGCTAGCGCTTCCAGGTAATGGACCAAATGAAAAGTAACAGTTTGATCTCCAGCAACGTCGATATAAAATATTAGAGTATGATGATACGATGAATCATCGAAATCACTCGTCTAACTTATTACTTAAGCATTAATATTATTTATATGACACGCATCAAGTGTTTGCTACTCAAAAATCAAAAATATCATAAACTATCACAAGGCTACTTTTAATCCCATATTCCTGATAACAGCAATAGCAAAACTCCAAAACTCCAAAATCCAAGAACTACCATTCTAGTTTGGCTTAAATCTGCCGCAAGTTAGTTCTCCATACGATGACTACACCTACATCTCAACTTACATATCATGCCAAGTAGATGGCCACTTCTGATAGTGACAAAGCTGGAAAACTCCATCCTTCTTCTTGTCCTTTTGCCGAACAAGACCCCGAAGCTTACAAGTTGACGGTTCAAATACGACATAATGAAATTTCAAAGAGTCTATACAAATAGTTAGTACTGGTAACTAAAAACGATGATCCTAAAAGTCAAAATGACTTCAACGGTGTCTAGCGTTTTCAAATTCGATCACTAAATGTCCAAATAACATGAACGTCATATGAAGGATTTTATGGGAGAGCAATAGTAAATCTTACCGAAAAATGACCCTCGTATTGGAGCCATCAGGGTGTTCCTGGGAAAACCAAGCTTCAGCGCTTCAGGAAACGTCTTCGGAAAGCTACAGTCAAGATATGAATACCAAAAGTTGTTGTTTGCCTTTGGATTTGGACAAGCAATTCCTATGGCGTCCAAGATCTCATACATCTCGTACTTCGTTGATGCACATTGATAACCAGTGTGCTCTGGTATCATGCCTCTTCTACCTATAACGGACAGACCGGAATGGTGGACTGATAGGGCATCAGCAGTTGCAGCAAATATCAATGCTATGATCATTGTAAGATTAAGGTTGAATCTAAAGGACCTCATCTTGAATACTGCGGCGGTATTACTAGAAATGGGTATGGATATTTGTGAGATAAAAAAGGCGGAGTTGCTGGAATAATGATGATGATATTGATTTTGGTTATGCCGGTGGTGTTAATGATGATGATGATGATGTGGATGATGATAAAAAGCCAACGTAGGGAACAAACGTCTATTATATAGCGGTTAAAGACGCTACTAAACAAGCTGGGGCAAGTCAATTCCACCATCATAGTACTTTCCTCGAACTAAATGCCGGTGGTGAATCACAGAGTATAAATTTTTATCAATATTGTTATCAAGTGGATAATTGGTGCAAACTGTTGAAAATTTACTCTTAGCCCAATTGGCCATTTCCTCTTTAGGTGGAAGGAAAAACTTCACTTCTTTACCTCGATATGTCTGGCCAAGTTGTGTAATTTGAAGGTCAGCAACAAGCCATCTGTGAGATCAGAATAGGGCGAAAATTGGGCTTCAATAATGCTATCGACTAGATCCAAGAATGCCACTTTTCGCTGGCTAATGCACAATAAGATCAAATTTAAGTCGATTCATTCAAACTAACTGGATCTTGGCTCGTTCAATAAGTCATAAAAGCGAGGTCCAATTTTCGCCTAATCTAGTAAAGAGAATTTAATCGGGTCCAAGGGGCGAATACCTTTGAGCTTACTGTGGTTAGTTTGATATCTATATTTCAAGTCGCTTTTTTAGTTCGAAGCCCCGTTCTAGGGTGGCAAAAAAGTCCGCAAATAATGAGCCGGACTAACGATATTATAGTAACCATCAATTTGATTCATTCAGTCATCAAAATGAAACTCGGTATTACAAAAGTGAAGCGTATGATAGAAAATATCATTGATAGATCGAGTGATGATGGTATATCGACTCATAAGGCGAATAATAAATTGATATTTCCACAGAACTTCAACCATTTTTGGTTGTAATAGCTTATCACGTGTTGTAGGGTCAAATCGATGTGGACGTTAGTTGAATGGGATTATTCCTAGGATGAGGAAGTTTAGAGGCACCACATCTTGTCTAGTCCTGGAAGTAGAGTCTGGAAAGCCAAGCAACTTATGTCACTTAAAATAGGTGATAGTTTGCCTAATCCCAGAATTTTCTACTGGTACATTGTGCAGTGATGATGTGCAGAATGACGAAGGAATGTACGGTTATATGTAGTCCGAGGATCTATCATTGATTATATCCGGTTATATGAAGACTAACTGTAATTATTTAACAGCCAATGTCTGCAGCAGTATGGGAGAATGCTGCACAGAATCGCAATCTCAGTTCAAAAAAGTTGTTTAATGCGCCTATAAAATTTTATTTTTGTGACATGGCTTGATTGTTTAGTGCACAATTATCCAGAATATAGATGCTTAGAATAACGCAATTTTAAGATTTATCAGCGGATTATCATACGAATGTAGTAGTGAAATACTTATCCAGAGCTGAGTTTAGTTAATTATTACCTGAACAAGTAAGTTGGCCCACGAGACTGATATTCAAGTCTTCCTAGCAAATCTAACTTTCACAACCAGCAAGACCAATTCCAACCAGAGCCCTGACCAGTATATAAGTCTAACCTAGCACAGGCTAAACTCGAGGTTTATACATCCCCTGACTCATTCATTGGACTCAACTGGCCTCCAGTTTAACGCCCATCGAGAAATTAATGGCCACAATCCGGGGCTTATTGTGATTATTAGATCTAGCGAGACGCATATTTGGAGAGAGAGTATTTGTTGTGGTATTGTGTTAATTGAGTCATAGACTATCTGACACATTTGGCTCCTCTCTAACCCAGGCCACCGCGCGCCTAAGCTGTTGACACCACTTCGTTCTATTACTGTTACTTTACGTTCATTTACAGTAACTCTTTATCCGTGCATCTTGTCGTCTTATCCCGGGGTCATTTTCTCCGTTGAAGGCCCCCACTAAATTTCTCCCTTTCGACCTTCATTGTCGCGTCTCCTCAACCCTTCTACCAATGAAAGCATCTCGAAAACCAGGAGAGTCGTCGATATCTCTGCACTTACCCAGTTGCCACTTTTTGTCTAGCTTTGGAGGTCTAATACATGTCAAGAAGCTTGAGAACGAGGCACCAATGTCACAGCATTTATCGAATACCCTTGTTTATATACTGGCAGAATGTCCTGTGTATTCTATCGGAGATAGAATTATTGATCCTTTTGGCTGAGGGTTAACCGCATTTCAAATCGGTTGTTTGACCTTTGATTCACAGCAAGTAAAATTTACGGAAGTATGGATATCTTGTTGTATCTCAGATACCGATTTTGGCTTTTGGATCCTGGATTGCTCCAGTAATTAATGACATGATTGTGGAAAGGGCCGCAAGATAGGCTTGACTGAGAACCATCTTCGGAAAAATTAAGACCCTCAAGATGTGAGTTTTTATGATTCGAATGTCAGCCAATTTTGATCCTTTCTGGGGTTCATGTTTGTGGTAGAAATAAGTGACTTTGTTCGGTTGTGCAGTCATGAAATATCAACAACTTGAATCTTGGACCAGAATCTCCCTAACTCATCAGAATTTCTCACGTTCATCCTTCATAGTCACTGAATCGTGGCTTGGACAACTTTTAAGTCTCTGGTTCGTAGAGTACTCCAACGATAGGTGTACAGCCATTGTCATCTTGTGATGCGACTGTTAACATATTGATTGTGTGTAAGTGAGTATTAGCGTAGATGTAAGTCAAAGAATTCTTTTGAAGATGATCAACCTATTTCATACCCTCAAATGCTGCCCGTCTCCACAAGCATGGTCGTGATCTCAGCAAAGCTCAAGGTTGGCGGTCCATAGCTCTTCTATTCCCACTGGCAAGAATCTTGGGTGCTTGATCGATAATTATTTATAAACATTTAAGTCTAAGAAGGCACACAGGATAATCCCAGTCTCCAAGCCCGCTAGAGAACGTTTGGTTTAGAATCTCACCCATATGTGTAATGATAGCACGAATTGTTGTTGTATACCATAACAATGTGTAAAACGTGGTAGATAGCATCGCAATAGAAATTCATGCTTCCATGTCTGGTAATATTTAGAGACGGAGCTGATCAACAAGAGATTCTACGATTGTGTAATGAGCCAGCACGTCATGAAATAGAAAACAAACTGAATAGTGTCATAGCTTGTAATGCTGCATACACTTACTGAACTAAAATAAATAAAACTGAACTTCATACTTCGTCTCCATAATCAACAAATAGCTCACACCCACCTATCAAAGGAAAGGTGGCACACAAGTTTTCCAGGCTAGGCACAGGCAGATCTACGAATGACGAAAGCATCCAGCCGCTACGGTTTGAACATATTCTTAAATAATGGTATGAATTTTTGTCTCTTCCTGGAACTAATCATATGATCAAGGATCCTTATCAGTTTTCATGCAAGTGCCCGTGCACATCATGCTTCATATTATTGCCTAAGGCATCACAATATCATAACGCTATCATGGATCCAAACGATAAATGACTGTCTCGTGCGTCATCCGCGCATTGAGTAACGCCATGTAGAGAACGTCGAATCTACTCCTGGTCGCTCTAGATATTCAGGAGACCGTTGACGCTATACTCCACAGACGACTACTGCACAGGATGAAGGAAGTTGGATGACCAGTATCCGCTATCGATCGGACCAAATTCTTTCTCTACTTCGATCTCCCCGCGATTGATACGATGACGGAGTAACAGATCCAATACTTCCAGGATGTGAACTCCCACAAGGATTACCAATGTCGCCGAATCTTTTCATTCCCTACTCGGTACAAAATGTGGTAGGTAGTATTTGTAGATTTGGCTATGCCGACTAAGTTGCCATATTAGAAATAAAACAATCTCAAAACAAAGCCACATTACCCATCCCACGGGAGAGGGACGCAGTCCTTGAATAGGATTATGGGAATGCCGTATCTTTTTTTTGGTAGGCAATACCGAATTAGTTGACTTCCTCAGTCCAAGAGCTGTGAAATACGAGCTATCTACAACAGCAGTCGGCCATCATATAATCCAAGCATCAAATGACATTCTATAACCCGATGTGTGTCTTTACCTGGGCCTGGCCTTCAAATTTTACGTTGCCAAATAGACAAATAAATGAATGCGGCTAATGCAATACTTTCGGGGACTAAATCGTTACACCAATGATCAAAGCCGGAATTACTAACCACAGTCATTCAAACTGATATCCTGAGAGTCACTATGCTTGCTGCAGAAGTCTGAATACCAGGGCTGACTAGGAAGACTTACCGAAGTGTCTTGCGAAACTTTTGTGAAAGATAGAGCAAAGACATCTATCAAACTTCTGTGTTCGCTTTCCGCGTGGCCCTTTCGCCCCGGCGCATATGATGCTGAAGGAACGTAGTCTTGAGACTGCTGCCAGAATCCGCAAGCTATATTGGAAGTTTCAGAGGATTTTGCAACTCTTGCCAGACGAGGAACTGCCTCCGCCTCTTCCGAAAAGTTGCTTGATAAGCTTGGAAGAAGCGGCTAAACCAATAGGATAGTGGCTACACAACTTGCCATCCGATTGTATTTATGCTTACAGCGTTGATTCCAGAGCCTCCATCGACCATATTCTCTGGGATTTCGTGACTTTTGTTAGTGGCATTGACACTGCCACGGTAATTGAATAAGGCAGCCCGGGAAAATAAATTGGCGCCAAAAGGAGACTTATGATACGGTGTCTAGGTATGAATGATAAGAAAAAAGGCGAGTTCCATGCGGTTTATTGAGCATTTTTCACCGAGAAAAGATACAGGATTGAATCTTCCTGGCCAGAAATATCCTCATTAGTATATACTGCCCAAAAATCTCATCATTCGAACAAAGATATTTTTAAGCTAGCCGGTAAATTATATCGTGATCCCTAAGCTAACTTTAGAGACAGAAGTTTACTTTGCTTTGCCTCAAGCTCAGTATTGGCGTTAGAAGATACATAATAAGACTCCTGTCAATAGACCAATTCTGTATTGTGTGTGAAGCGACCATAAGGCTGTTCACTCTCCCAAATATGATATATTAGCCGTCCAATCGTTCAATGATGCGTCTATAAGTCGTGACACTTTACTCACGTCATATTTACTCTCACTCTCATCGCTTGAATCCAAGACGTGAAGATGTCACAAGTTTATTAGCATGACATGTTGTAACCACCATCAATGAATTCAATGTGAAAAAGCTACATTCCATTCATGCGTCCTCGTTCATCCACGACATAGATTGAAATAGCTTCGTATAAAAGGCAAATGACCAATTCCATACTCTCTGCATATCACAAATCTTCAAAGGCTCCGTGGTGAAGGTCTTTTAGCTCACAGCCGATTGTCTACGTCCGAGGCTGCAACCGCATGTAGTATCCCAGCTATCTTAACATCAAGGTAGTGTATATCCTTTACTTCCTGACGCTCTTTGAGTTAGATGGCAAAGAGTCAGGGATGAGTGGGGGTTTGACTCTTAATCTTTCAATTAGCAGCAGTACAGCATCAAATAGGGAATGCTTCGCATTGTATTTGTCTAAAACGATCTATTAAATACTTGAAGAGTCATTCAAGCTATTTGTTTGTCCATCGATTCTTGGATGGTAGAAAACGCTTCAAAAGTGACAATACTAAGTACCATACTTTGTTTCCACTACCCTGGCCTTGGTCAGTCAGAGTCACCAAAGATTTATTCCACAGTTCTTTGAAACTTGAGTAGGGTTAGTATTTCTTGAAACCTGGTATCATTTAGATGCAAGTGTGAATCTACATCTGCATCTCTGTCTCCATCTCCATCTTTTCCTCACCGTTTTCACAAAGTGGTTCGGTGCTCTATTTTCTCCTTGGCACCTTGTGTTGCTTGTCTAGTAGTTTTGTCTTCCTCCTACTCGAATTACCACAGGAGACACCCATGTTGCTGCTACATTGGTCTGCTTGTCGATTTGCGACAAGCCGTGAGCACGAGGTTCCTTGCTTGCTTCCATTCGAAATATGTTTGGCCAATAGCTCCGTGTGTTGGTAGCCTCTATTTGTAGCTTCTGATCCCATCTAAACAATGAGCCAATTGGAAAATGCTGTATTACCTAGTTGCCTTGAGTATGAGCGATATCGATAAATGATCCCTCTTACTGGAAATTTGGATAGAACTTCTGCGTTGTACATTTTTATCATGCTCTGCATGCTTTAGAACCAAATCTCCAAAGAATGCTTTCACTTCTAAGAACCTTTTTGATTTTGCCCTAGCCAGCGCGTATATCAGATATGTCGAATAGCATCGGGCTGTGCTCCCAAAATGGTCCCGTCTTGACATCATTTATAAAGCCTACAACTGAGAAAAACATGTTGCGCTCTCTTTCTATATCTACAACAGGCTTCTTGGAAATGCTGGTCGGGCTTGGCGTGTCTGGATGCGGGCCCTCTTCTGGCATCGTTTCGTTCTCATCAATAGCAGGGCAGTACTGAGATGAGCCAAATATATACGGATTGAATGAATGATTATGAAAGCCCCATACTCAATGAGACCTAGCCGGCTCAAGAGTGTAAGTCAAGATAAGTCGTCGGATTACACGCCAATAGCTACATCACGTCAACATTTCATTTTGATACATCTTGAAGACCTGAAAATACACACGGCTCCATCACGCAAATTACGATATTCCGCGATGTAGTCATAGTCTCTGCTTCTTCATCACTAAAGCCACCAAGCTTCCATATACTTCCTAAAAATGCCAGAAAGCTCAGCTCATGTCCAGTGCCGTAATCCAGCCGTTGTGAGCTGCCGAAGCTACCCATGAAATAAGGCGTCAGTTCATCAAGAACAGAAACCTTCCTATCGTCACCATTGCCACTACCGCTGCCACAATTAAGCACTGATGGCGGTAGATATTCTTGCAAAAGACTCCGGGCTCGCAGTTCCAAGATCTCATGCCATTTCCGGAAGCTCGTGTTACCAAATCTTCGAGGTCCAGTGTCGGGCGTCACCTCGTCAATAATTTCGTTGCATCTTTGCAATAATTGCTGTTATCGACGTACTGGTCGCTATAACTCAATGGGTGTATCAAGTTCCCAACTTTGTCACTTTCCGAGATTAGACTTTGGCTTTCGAGGGCCCAAGGCCATGTTCAGCTGCAAGTTAAGCAGGCAAATGTCACGGTAGGCTTCTGAGGTATGGAAGGTTAATACATCGTGCTCGTCATTGATCTTTTTAGTCGGCTTTACAAACTCGTGGGTTTCGAGAGAAGTCAGCACTTGAATTTCGTACGGACTTGGGGCCGCGGTGCTCATTATGATGATTTGACGTGGAATGTAGCGTAGCGTAGTGAAATACCTGCGACATGACTGAATTTCAAGCGAAATCTTTTCATTGTTTCCCGCTTACCGTTTTCATTACGCTGTGACTAAACTCGGAAGCTTCCACTTGCTACAGGTGTGGCAGGAATCTAGTTGATTGAATTGCGCACGACGTGAATCATGAACGATAAGGTTAGTGGGGAGGACGATCTGTTCATGGAGCTATCCCCGAATCACGACCCAATCAAAGTTATCGGTGACTAACGCTGGAGGTAGTGGTCGAGTGCCGTAAATTTGGCGGGGGAACTGACCAAGCTGCGGAAAGCCCCGCCATTTATCTTAGCTGACGCAATCGAGATCTCCGACTGCCACACAACACACAACACACGACTCAGGAAATACTACCTGAATGATTATAAGCTATATAGTTATTCATTCTAAGACATAATCAGGCCAAAATTATCTTTGTCCCAGGTGTTTGATGTTGTCCGATTTATCTTGTCTCCCATGGAACGGGACAAAGATTTAAATGCTAATCCAATGGTAGAAATAGAAGAGCTTCTTCGGAGGAAATGCTACATAGAATTTACGAAAAAAAAAAGATGTCTTCTAACCAGCGCGATGAACATCCAAACATACGTAGAGTTAACTTCATCACGTCATCACCTTTCTTTCTTTCCCACGAGTTGAAGGTCAAAATGTGAGTGGATGATGGAGGTATGTCTGGAAAACCCAGGGTTTTTGAGACGTCTCCCTGGGTGGGTATTCACGGATGAGGGTTGACTTGGGGTGAAGAAAAAGCCACCATAACTTTGCAGTGGTACTTGCAAATAAAATCCGAAGCATGAGTGCTCTTCTTTGAAATTGAGTCATATATTTAACACTTCTCTGATATTGTGTCATAGCTAGATAGCTGCATACGCAATTAAAATCTGATGCAAAAAAAAGGTGAAAGTCACTTTTTGCCACTGGACAGCTATGAGGGATCTACTCAATTACGGGAGAGTGTAGTAATGTTTGATCGGTGAAGTTACTGGGTCTATGGATGTGGCAATATTTTGGGGTTGGAAAGATAAAACGTAATCTCTGATATTGTAGACCTTTGTGGTTGTAGACAAGCCTTGCATTTATTTTCATGCAGCTTCCAACTTCTCATTTTAGTCTCATTTCTTACGGATTGCAGGTCACGTTAAAATTTCTGAAGAGGCGTGATGGAGAACGTGTCATGAAAGGTCCTTTCAAATTGTTTGCCAGGCCCGTCATCAGAGTGTCTAGGAGATATTTGGGACATTCACAATCACGAGCTTTGTGCGTAGAAGATTCTTATGGCTGAGGGTTGGACGGTATGTGTGGAAGACGTAGTTTACAGTAATATTTACAAAGCAAGCCCTAAGCTGGAAAGGGCAAAACTTAAGAAAGTGATTCTATGTCTATGTGTCCGAACTTTAGATGAAAATCAACAGTGCTGAATTTGAACCCTATGCTGCCATATCAGAGTTTATAGAGTTAGGATTGAGTGATGTCCCCAATGACGAGGCGAGTTATACCATGTCAAATATATTCTTTGGTGAACACCTTCGAAGATCAGATTCTCGATGGTGTAACGTGGAAATGTTAGAGGTATTACTGTACGGAACGGTGAAGGCGGAGGAAAGTTAATACCTGTGTGTTGTGTCCTCGACGAATTTACAGCTCTCGCTGTAGAGTCTGCAGAGCCGAGATTAAGTAACACCTTTTCAATTATGAGCTGAGTTATCTCCCCTTCCGTCAAATTTAAGCGTGCAACAAAACCTAAGACGACTAAGACGATGATAATGATGCTCGGCATAAGGAAAGATGTTGTTGTACCAAGCGCGACAACGATAGTCAGAGAATATCTCGTTCTGTCACCTCATGTGTTTCCCACGGACAGGTAAACAAATGGCTCACGGAAGCAAATTGAAGACTCTTCCGCCATCAAGGAAAGCAGGTTTCAACTCGTCAATGTCATCATCCCTTGTAACACTTTATCAAAAATCTACTAGCCAGGAGCGCATCTAAAATACATTAGTTACTCGACAACCCCACGTCCATAACGACTTGTAGGTGCTAAGCTTGGCTCCTTCACGACAGTCACTCTATACGAAGACTTTTCTGGGGTCATTTTTTATGACCCTTATGTTTTCCAGCGGCAATTATTAGTAAAGGAGTATAAAGGAGGCCAGGAAGTTTAATATCACTGTACATGAAGATAGATTTTCGAGGTCAATCCTGGTGAAGTAGATAGTTTACAAGGAAAGCGAATAGATTCTATTCTATAAGATCATTTGGTCAAAAGCGGCACAACGTTTCACGAACGTTATTAAATTGTTTTTATAATCTTTACCATCTCAATCAGTCCTTCTTATCTGATTCCCCAATTTTTTCACGTGGCGCTTTGGCATGGCGAATTGAAGAGTCTGAAAGGTGGATTTATCGGCTGAAAAAAATTTCACGGCGCCACAATCACCACCAACGGATAGCGGTACTGCCGTAATTACGGCTGTAGAGTCTCTCGCGACCTCTACAGGCGTCAACATGGATACACTAAAGACAGTAGGGCTTTGTCTAAATAAGGTCAGAGACAGACTGGGGATAGTAGGCACTCGATGCCTTCAAAGCCCACACTATGATGCTACAATCGAAGCTGAAGGCTTCACGAATGGAAGAATGGATGCTGGCCTTATAGAAGTCAGTCACGAAGAATCTTGAGGATCCGTCGCGCAAGACGGCTACTTCGGCAGTACAAGAAATGGGAGGGCGACCCACATACGCCTCAATTGTCGCACCGCCAGCGACTAAAGCGGCAGTACGGATAAGAGTACAAGGATCAGACAACATGGAGCCGGTAGAGCTCCTAGACAAGGCAAAAATACACATTGAGGAGGCATACGCAGTAAGGAAGCTGCGGAGCGATGATACGGAGGTTTTTGTGCAGTCAGTCTCCCAGCGAGACGCTACCTTGATTCTGGCGCAGCCAAAGGAGTTCTGCGTCCTGAAGCAGGATTACCCTGTTGAGATTTTGGGGAACCCCTTGGGGACATTTATACGATGAGGGAAAAATCAAAACAACGGTGAATTTATAAACCAAATTATGGCAGAATCAAAAGTTCGGATTCCCGACTTGAAGATCAATAGGGTGAGATGGCTCTTCGACGTAAAGGAGCACCGATGGATGGGAAGTAACGGCAATACTCGAGGGTAAATCGTCGCGAGTTTGCCGACAGGCACTTCAACGCGAAGTGATAAGAAATTGCATTGTTTACAACTCAATGCTATACACGGCCTAGCTCTGGTTACCTCGAGCACAAATCAAGCAGTGCTCTAACTGCTGTCAATGGGGGCATACCCAAACCTCTTGCAATATGGCAAGGAGATATGGTGAGTGCCCGCGCACTCAATACATCAGAGAATGCCCGATGAAGTCGGTACTTTTTTGCAACTGCGGCAAGGACCGTAAATCGTGGTAGAGGTGGCGTGTCAAAACTTCGCGGCATACAAGGCCAGCGTTTAACGGGCACGGTATGAGCTAATGGAGAGAACGGCGGAATTCAGGAAAGGAGAGACATTAACAATGGAGTCTAATACAACTACTACGGCAAAACCTACAGACGACCAGGGGCTCACACTGGTGTCCCACCAAAAGCCGGAGGTGCCAAAGAGAGGGACAGGACGCCCGCACAAACAGCTCCTAGTCAACCTACTACCACAAGTATTTGGACTATCTGTTACGGGATTAATCTTTTGTGTTTGTACTGTCTACGCCAGTACGGCAGAGATGGAATATAGGGCCTAGCTAGCTACGGAGGCTACCAATGTTGCGGTCTGGATGTGGTTGTTTAGCAACATAGATTGTTATGATCGGCGCTGATAAATACAATTCCCTATGTATACAGCGAGAAGTAGGAAACCTTTTTTCTCCATATTTCATTAATTAACTGATTTTATTCTCGACTTGCTCTGCTGTATACCAACACCAATTGATCCGGCGACAAATTAATGAAATCTCACTCTCTAAACTAACCCTTTATCAACGCATGAAGATACGTGCTCCGTCTGATTCAGAATCATCTCCAGCTCACTTCAGCGAATCCTTTGAAGACGAATTTTACAATACCGTAGAAACTCTTGATAACTTGTCACCCAACAGCCTAATGAATGACTCATCTCAGTTCCGTTCTACCTAAGAATCCTCAAGCAACCAAATGATGAGGGATGTCAATTTTGGAAGGTGGGATGGAGCGGCTCTTACGTGGCCTACTCATTATCAGCTTCTTCAGGTCCAATGCGAAGTATACGCACCCTTTCTAGTCATAGAGATCGCAATTTGTATGAAGATTCTAAATTTTTCGCCGGATCAATTGGTGTTGGTATACAGCAGAGCAAGTCCAGAGTAAAATTAGTTAATTAATGAAATCTAGAGGAGGAAGATTTCCTACTTCCAGCTGCATAAATAGGGGATTGTATTTATCAGCGCCAATCAT